TATATATATACACATTGAGGGAAAAAATGATTTGATCCCCTGCTGATTTTGTACGTTGTTGACAAAGAAATTATCAGTCTATAATTTTAATGGTAGGCTTATTTGAACAGTGAGAGACAGAATAACAACAACAAAAAAATCCAGAAAAATGGATTTAAAAAAAGTTATAAACTGATTTGCATTTTTTAATGAGTGAAATAAGTATTTGATCCCCTATCAATCAGCAAGATTTCTGGCTCCCAGGTGTCTTTCATACAGGTAAGGAGCTGAGATTAGGATCACTCTCTTAAAGGTAGTGCTCCTAATCTCAGTTTGTTACATGCATAACAGACACCTGTCCACAGAAGCAATCAATCAATCAGATTCCAAACTCTTCACCATGGCCAAGACCAAAGAGCTGTCCAAGGATGTCAGGGAAAAGATTGTAGACCTACACAAGGCTGGAATGGGCTACAAGACCATCACCAGGCAGCTTGGTGAGAAGGTGAAAACAGTTGGTGCGATTATTCGCAAATGGAAGAAACACAAAATAACTGTCAATCTCCCTCGGTCTGGGGCTCCATGCAAGATCTCACCTCGTGGGTTTCAATGATCATGAGAACGGTGAGGAATCAGCCCAGAACTATACGGGAGGATCTTGTCAATGATCTCAAGGCAGCTGGGACCATAGTCAACAAGAAAACTATTGGTAACACACTACGCCGTGAAGGACTGAAATCCTGCAGTGCCCGCAAGGTCCCCCTGTTCAAGAAAGCACATCTACAGGCCCGTCTGAAGTTTGCCAATGAACATCTGAATGATTCAGTGGAGAACTGGGTGAAAGTGTTGTGGTCAGATGAGACCGAAATCGAGCTCTTTGGCATTAACTCGCTGTGTTTGGAGGAAGAGGAATGCTGCCTATGACCCCAAGAACACAAGCACATGAAGGTCCTGGAGTGGCCTAGCCAGTCTCCAGACCTTAATCCCATAGAAAATCTGTGGAGGGAGCTGAAGGTTCGAGTTGCCAAACATCAGCCTCGAAACCTTAATGACTTGGAGAGGATCTGCAAAGAGGAGTGGGACAAAATCCCTTCTGAGATGTGTGCAAACCTGGTGGCCAACTACAAGAAACGTCTGACCTCTGTGATTGCCAACAAGGGTTTTGCCACCAAGTACTAAGTCGGGGTCAAATACCCAAATAAAGCGAAGGGGTCAAATACTTATTTCACTCATTAAAATGCAAATCAATTTAAACTTTTTTGAAATGCGTTTATCTGGATTTTTTGGTTGTTATTCTGTCTCTCGCTGTTCAAATAAACCTACCATTAAAATTATAGACTGATCATTTCTTTGTCAGTGGGCACACGTACAAAATCAGCAGGGGATCAAATAATTTTTTTCCTCACTGTATATATATATATATATATATTTATAAAATTGTTTTGGCACCAAATTGTATTGTTTTCAATGTACACTGATACACAGATAGAAAGACACACACACACACACACACACACACACACACATATACTTATATATATATCTATCTGTCAGAACATTTGAATGTTGACCCATAATGCTTTGTCTGCAATAACATGACCATTGTTCTCTGTATATATGGCTTTCTGTGACATATTCACTTGATTATGCAGTTAAACATTAATTTGCTTTGTTTTCTAGTATAACTTCTCAAGCTTTCTTGGGTTGTTCCTCTTGTGGACCACCATGGCTGATTTTGGGGAGATTTTAGAAACTATAGGGAACTTTGGCCTTTTCCAAAAGCTTCTCTTGTTTGCTTTGTGCTTTCCAAATCTCATTCTGCCTTTTCAGTTATCCAGCCTTGTCTTCAACCATGTAGACACAAACCACCATTGCAACACTGAGTGGATCCTTCAGGTGGGTCCCAATCTGACGAAGGAAGAGCAGCTTAACCTGACTCAGGCTCCCAGATGGCTCTTTTAGTCTCCGTCAGATGTACATGCCTGTGAATTGGGATTTGTCTGCTATCCGGGAATACGGCCTAAACGAAATCACCACATGCACTGATGGATGGGTACATAATGATACTATTATGAGGCAACCATTGTCACCAATAAGTACTACCACTGATGTGTTTCAAATAAACGTTGAAAAGGTAATGGGTTTAGTTACCAGTATATTTGAAAACATTTATGCTATGACTTATGATCACACCACAATGTAATGACCTCACTTTGAGCTGATTTTGACAACAATAGCAGTTTACATCGAGAAAGACTTCATGAATGCCTGATATTTTTGTGATATTTTGCAGTTTGATCTTACAGGTGCATCTCGATAAATTAGAATGTCGTGGAAAAGTTCATTTATTTCAGTAATTCAACTCAAATTGTGAAACTCGTGTATTAATCTAATTTATTGAGATGCACCTGTATATGTGACAATTCAAATTTATTTCAGGGAGCACTGACAATATTCTTTGCTGGAGTACTTGCTGGAGCTGTACTTTTTGGGCCTTTTTCAGAATCGTAAGTATTGAAAAACTTCAATACTGCAATACAATATCAATACTGATACTATGTACTTTAGATTAAATACAGAATAGATAATTTTAAGGTGTCCTTGTCACAGTGTAATTACACAAATAAGTACTGAGTAATATTAATGTTAGAATAAGATTTGGTTTAAGGTTAGTTGCTTGTAGTTATGCATAATTTACTCTAGTAAGTACATGTAATGTTTAACAAGGGCACTGTAAAACAAAGTGTTACCTAGATTTCTCTTCCCCACACCCACCCCACACCCACACACACATTAAACTTGCAATTCAATTCAAGTTTATTTGTATAGCGCTTTTCACGATACAAATTGTTGCAAAGCAGCTGTACAGAAAATTAAGTTTCTACAATATTTGCAAGTCATGTATATGTAGTTTGCACCCTCAAAGTTACAGAAAGTATTATCCTCCCTGGCATTGACTTTTTTTCTCCCTGTATTAAAGGCATTACAAAACACGTTTACATTTTTTGCAGTTCTTTTATGTTTTATGTTAAATAAAGTATTATGAATAGTTTTCCGAGTTATATTAAAATTTGTAATACAATTATGAAAATATATATGACATATCGTTACACTATACAAATGTTTTTAAATAGTTAAAATATGATAAATATAAAATATTTTTAAAAATAGTTAAATAAAATTATATAATAACTACAAAAATATATATATATATATATGTCACGCTCATTAATAAATGTTTTTAAGTAATGATAAATGTTATATTTATGTAATGTCAATGTAATTAGACATAGATTTTGAGATTTATTGTATTAAACATTGTTTCAAATAAATTGGAAAAAAAGAAAAACAGATTTCAATGTACAAATGTTTTTTTTTATTGTTCACCAAAGAAATGGTAACACGACAATGCATTAAACTTTTCAGCCACAAGACAAGTATAAATAAGCTTTGAAACAGCTTACTAACAATTGTAACTATTTTGTAGAAGAAATATGAACACACAGTATTCAACAATACATGCTATATCCCTTGTGAATGCCTGGATATTCATTAAAAACTGGGCATGCATTAAAACGGAGGCAAGCCTCTGTAACTTTAAACTTGGCTGAAGAATTGTGTGAACACACATTAACTGAGCACTAACAGCACTAATATGCAGTGACAGAACACACTTTAATGTCTTATACAGCAAAGCACAAGTGGCTTCTCATGGAAGCTAAGGCCAAGGAGGAGCAGGGGAATCGGGAGGCCAAGGCCAAGGAGGAGCAGGGGAATCGGGAGGCCATGGCGGATCTGGGGGACTCGGGAGGCCATGGCGGATCTGGGGACTCCGGGGCTGCGGCCCCAGCCCCCGCCTCGGCCTCTACGGCTGGAGCCATACTACCCGCCCCCCCCAAAAAAAAATCCTTGGGGAAATCTACGGGGCTGTATTCGGGGCCTGGAGCCCTCCCTGGGCCTAACGGGGAATCTGGAGCCCTCCCTGGGTGGAACTGGGGATCAGGAGCCCTCCATGGGCCTAACGGGGAATCTGGAGCCCTTCCTGGGTGGAACTGGGGATCAGGAGCCCTCCCTGGGCTCAACGGGGAAACAGGAGCATTAGCGTCCTTTCGGCTTGCCACATTAGCGTCCTTTCGGCTTCCCACATTAACTGCCGGCTGACTGGACTCGGGAACGGCCGGATTTCTTGACTCGGGAACTGCCGGCGGAGGGGTTCCGGATCGGAATCGGAGACTCTCCAGACACCGTCTATGACATGAAAAATAAATCCACATCATATATTCAGCATACAGAAAAGATTTAAATTCGTGCATGATGTGATCAACAGTCCTTTCCAGTAAAATATATATTTTTTCTTTTCTTTCTCTCTCTCTCTCTCTCTCTCTCTCTCTCTCTCTCAAGTTTTGGTCGTAAGCGAGCTACACAGATACCTATGGTGCTCATGATAATATTCACTGGTGACTGGTCTCTCTCCAAACTTTTACGTGTACCTCTCATCACAGTTCATTGTTGGTGTTGCTCTTGGAGGATTTTGTATCAACAGCATAATCCTTGGTATGAGACAATATTGATGTTTTCAACCTTTACATCACCCTGGCTTGTAGACTGGCTAGTATCAGTAGACTGAATATTCAATGTAAAATATCAGATAGCTCATTAACTTACATAGAACCTTTTTAGACTTTCATTTTGTGTCATCAACAAATCAGTTGATAGGTCTTGGGTAAGACTATATGGGCTACATATGTGACTAACACACAGAATAGCTGTATTTTCATCATAATTCCATTTATCACAATGTTTTCATCCTGGCTGTAGCCACCGAGTGGATTGGAGTCGCTCAGACATCCTATGCAGCCTGTCTGAGTCAAGTCCTGGCCGCTTTGGGGCAGGTCATGTTTCTTGCCGTTGTTTATTATGTCAGGGACTGGAGACTGGACCAGTTTATAATGGCTGCATCACACTTGCATTTGTGGTTGTCTACATATGGTATGTGTGTTCATGTTTAAAACCCACTTCAAAGAACCATTTCAATGCAGTTCTGTAATTTTGTATTTGGTTTGAAGGATTAATTTGTAAGTGAATGGGATCATTTGATATGCACACCAATATAGGTTTATTCCAGAGTCTGCCAGATGGCTTCTTGTCGGCGGAAGAACTACAGATGCGAAAGAACTCATTCAGAAGGCAGCGGTGATCAACAAACGTACAGTTCCAGATTCATTAGTGGAGAAGGTGGAGATATATTTCACTAATTAACACCACGAGCCAAATGACAGGTCCATTTTTCTTAAATAACACAATATGGATAACATCTTTTGTTAGGTCCTAAATGAAAAGCCTGTTGAAAGGTATACAAATCCTTTTTGCTTCCCGTGTGCTCAGGAAATATTTTTTAACTATTACCTTCGCATGGTGAGTCAATTCTCAGAGAATTTATTTATTTATTTTGCTTGGAATGAGTTTTTTTCTGAACTTTCAAAGGCCACATCTAAACTCGATTGGCCCTCTGTGTTGTTTATACTCAGGTGTGCGTTAAAGCGTACTACAGCCTCTCTCTGAATGTGGGGAAGTTCGGCCTTGATGTTTTTCTCAATCAACACATATTCGGCCTCTCTGAGATTCCGGTCCACTTCCTCTGCATGTGGTCTTTGGAAACGGCTGGAAGGAAGGTGTCTCTGATGGGTGCCCTCATACTAGGAGGGTCTCTCTGTCTCCTGACTCTTATAGTTCCACAAAGTAAAACCTTTTCCATATTTAACACTCTATAATGTACAAAGAATCAGCACTTAACCATGTGATGTCCTTCTTAAGGTAATTACATCGCCATCGCTGCTCTTGCCACATGTGGAAGGTTTCTCATGAACGGGGCAGGCAGTGTTTGCAATGTTTATATTCAAGAACTGTTCCCCACCTCCATTCGGTAAGCATGAGCCTGTGTCATTTTCTACTGGTATGAATGAGACTGTTGTTTTTAATGCAGTTATGTAATAATCTGCTTGTTGATTTTCAGTCAGACGGCCACGGCTCTGGGCTCCACTGCAGCACGTGCTGCAAGTATGTTGTCTCCTGTGGTGAACCTGCTGGAGATCTATCATTTCCCTATTCCCACTCTGGTGTTTGGCAGCCTGGCGAGTGGGATAATGGCCTTCCTGCTGCCTGAGACCAGACACACTGAGCTGCCTGGTTCAACAGAGGAGGCAGAGGGCAAGAGGTACATGTACTTTGCAAAGTTTTTATGCAACTGGTAAAAATAGTCATATTTAGTGAAATTCTGCTGATTAAAGTGATTTTTGCAGTTCTTACATGTCTTAAAATCAGTTCATTTATTTATTCTTTAATTTCTTTAATACCCAAGCTACACATTAAGTCTTGTCTTACATATTGTTTTAAAATATGTGTAGAAACATTTTGTTATTTTTTTGTCAAGGGAAAATAACACACTATCCCTCCATTTCCCAAAAAGCGACCAAAAATGATAAATCCTGCAGCTGGTGATTGTGAAGACATCAAAGCAACCAAGTTATAAGTTCTTAAAATCTTGGAAGATGTTGGCTATTGATATGTTATTATTCTGTTTAAGAGTTTACAGTGTAGTGATATGTAGAAATAACAATTCGGTTTTTATTATAATTTCTGCAGTTTATTTGCTATTCAGTATTATGAAAAGATTTGTAGATTTAGTGTCTTGTAAAATAACAAGCAATAAACCTCATTTGAATTAATGTTTTATTATTTTTATGATTATTTATTTATTTTCTACTTATTATTTATTTATTTATTTTTGATGAACAACATTAACATGAAAGTTATTTACTTTTCATGCATACACTTTTGTGTATTAAATGAAGACTATACGGATGAAGTAAACTAGATAAATCAATTTATTTTCCTGTCACAGAACTATTAGACATATTTTTGATTAATATAGTAAAAGTAAAAAAAATAAAAAATAATGAAAGGCTGATTTAAATGAAGAACATTTCTAGAATCACAATGCAGTATTTGTCAAACTCTTCAACATTTTTTTTAAATCTAAAAACTTTTGAAGTAACACTACATTAGATATTATGCTAACTTAACATACATTCATTAATTATGAAGATCTAAAGAAGTAACACCACATATGGATACTTTAACTTGAATATACATTGAATAATTAGTCAATCAAATGTCTGCAATAAAATTTGTGAATTGTCCAGCAAAGGCAAAACAATATAACTGCTTATTTAAATGTAAGTTTTGAATCTTTGAACAATGGCAACAACACTACCCCAAAAAGTCAGACATCCAGTCATTTTCAGGCTTTTGGGGCAGCACAGCATTTGTATCAGTGTCTGTTGGATCAAGTAGGTTGGAAGTGTCCTGTGCTGGCTCTGGAGATAAGCCAGGAATGGATGAGAATATGTCATCTGGAAAGAAGTTGCTCGCTTTTGTCTCTGCAGCCTCACCTTGACTCTCTAACCCAGTGAAATCATCAAATGGGTTTGCTGTTCTTTGCGTTGTTTCCACACTGAATGTATTTGTGCTTGTGCTGTCAATAACACTTGCAAAGATGTCATTTGGGAAAGGATCAGCACTCAGGTGACCGAATGCAGCTGTAGATGGAACATTCTCAGAGCTGAAGAAATCTAAAGCTTCCACTTGAGATGACTCAATTAGCTCTTTGCCAGAAAGGTTTTGATCAGGCACATTAGAGGTTGATTGATTGCCTTTACTATCAAAAATATTATTAACCTCACTTTGAATTAGATTTGCCTGTTCAAGGTCAGGGCTTTTCTGTTCAAACACATATGAAGTACCTGACAGTATTGATGGGTCACCTTCAGAACTTATCAAGTCAAAAACTTCATTTGGTGTCAGTTGACCATCTGTGATTCCCTCAAAAGGGTTTTGACTTTGACTCTCGCAGTTTGTCATAATATCAAAGAAATTATTATTGTACGTTAGAGCAGAGACAGTGAGCATTTTGTCTCCTCCAAAGATATCCATTGTTTGGACTTGTACATTGTTCATACCAAAGGGATCGTCAGTCATTTCTGAGGAAACACCGGCTTCATTTTTATTGACTTCAGTCAGGGTGTTTCCAAAACCATCTGAGTTTACCTCAATATTTGACTCTGACGAACCAAGAATATCGAGAGTGGTTTGACTGAGATTTGTAGAAGGGCTTAATGTTGTATCTTCACTTTCTTCCTGAGCTCCAAATGGGTCTTCTTGAATAAAGGAGCTCACTATATCTACTGATGGAGTTTCCACTGATGGTGTTTCCAAATCCATAATGTCTGTCAATTTGCCACTGTGTGTATAATCAAGTATATTTGAACCTGAAAAAGCCACAACATCTGTGTTAGAGTTTGTAACTTGAGATGTAAATGCATGAGATGAATCAAGAAAACCAGTTGTATCTTCATTCTGAGGCAAAGAGGAGTTGAGGCTCTCTTCAAGACCTGATGGTTTTGAAGAGTCTGGAGAGGTGAGATCTACATGAATGTGTTCTTGTGAAGGAATAAGAGCCTCATTTCTATCAATCTCCCAAAGACCACCAGAAGCAGGCTTGTGTTGTTCAATTGACTCGAGATCTGTTAATGGCACCGTGTCATCAGCAGAGTTTCCATTAAGCAATAAAATGGGATTTTCAAGGCCCTCTGTTGGATTAAGTTCTTCTGCAGCATCACTTAGTTGGTTTTCTGTTGGTTTTCTGGGCTCATGAGGTGTATTTTGAAAGGTGGGCTCAGTCAGAGGAAGAGATACAGAAACATTTTCTTGAATCAATGCAGTGTCATATTCTGTCCCTCCAGTTGTCTCTCGCTCCTTCTCACATGTAGTTTCTATTTTGATATCTGGTGTTTTCTTTATTTCTGACCCTGTTTCAGAGGATGAAAAGAGTCTGCCCAGTAAATTTCTAGGTTTTATATCAGATCTTTTGCTTTCCGTTTTTGTCTCACTTTTGTTCTCTTTCCTACTTGGACCAGATGTGAAGAGTTTGGAAAGAGGGCTTTTACCTTTAGACCAAGACCCTTTATTCCCTTTATCCATGGCCTTTTTGTTAGCAACCTTTGTGTTGCTTTTATTATCAGATTTTGGAGGCATATCCAACATGTCAGGGTCTTTAGATTCAACCGTAATAATATCTTGTTTTTTGGCGGTTACAACCTTGGCATTACTCTCAATAACCACCTCTTTCTTCATCTCTGCAACCAGCTCCAAATCACATGATTCACTTCCTGGTTTGAATGTTTCTTTACCACATGCTGTGATTTCATTTACCTGCAGTTCATGAAGATTCAGGAGTGTTTCCATCTCACTCGTATTTGCCTTTGTTTTTTCATCCAAATTGCTAAGCAAAGACAAGACATTTTCCTTTTCATCCAAATTGCTTTGCAAAGACAAGACATTTTCCTGTATTCCTATATTTGGAAGAAAAGTATCCTGCATTTGTCCGTCTAAAGCTTTGGGATGCTCAACAGAATCATGGCCATATGAATTGTGCATTGTGTCAATTAAACATTCCACAGGTGAATACTCTATTTCTATTCCTGATTCAAAAGTTGTAATTTCTCTCTTTGCTGTCTTTACATTACCATTGACAACTGCATGTTCAACAAAAGCTCCTTCACTGGTGATATCTGTGTTATCTTCCTTGTCTATATTTAAATTTGAATTAAACTGGACAGACATTTTTATTTTCGTTGGGCTATCAACTTTCCCATCTTCAGCCAAACTGTGTTCTCTCACAGAATCTGGTCTCGAGGTCACAGAATTGAAGTCTTTGCTTGTCACTTCCCCATCTTTTGAAACTTTGCTTTGTGTTCCAGATCTATCTGCAGTCTTCTGTAATGTTTTTGAACCTCTTGGATGAGGTGTATAAACATCCCCTGAATGTAGTGTTTTAAACCCACCTTTTATTGTTAAGGGAGAGGCGTATGTGTTTGTCTTCTCATAAATCCGAGCTGACAGCTCAACTGATTTGTCCATTTCATCCAGCCCAGAATTAAACCTTTTCTGTTCAAGAGCATTTCTGGAGCTTCTCGCAGAAGAGTGGTTGTGATTTGACCAGTCTGTTGTACTTCTTGAGGCTGAGGAAGTATTTTGTGATACAGGGCTATGTCTGGTCCTCTTGTTTTCCGGTGGCCAGCTAATTCTAAGCTGGTTCCTGGTGTCAGGACTTTTGAATTGATCATCACTGTGTCTTTGCCGTCGAGATGATGGTCCTCTGGGGTCATCTACAATTGCATCAACACATGTAGGCTCTGTTTTACACGCTGAGCTTAGCTTGTTAGTAGGTTCAGGATCCTCTGTTTTAGCAAGCCAGCGGTCTTTGTGTTGTCTGTGGCCAAAACCCTCATCATAGTTGCCCTTTTTCTTAAATAACTGATGGTAATGTGATGGGCAGTAGAACTCTCCATAAAGAGCAGAGTAATTGTGAATGCTGTAATGAATAATAGTACACCAGTGAAGATTCAAAGTTAAAGCATATGCTGTAAAATATAAATTTTCCCAGGGAATCAAGTGTTGTTGTATTTGAATTGTGATTAGATGAAATCAATTAAATATGCAATATGAATTTATTTTTATAGATCGTATTTGATTTGATATTTTGACTTAGCACATTTTCACATGTATTGTCATTATGAATCACAGATTTGATCAAATGTTCCAGGATTACACTAAAAACTATTTTATAACTGATTTGCCTTCTAATGTGTAGGAAAATGATTTTGGAATTTCAAAATGGACAGTTGGGATATCCCTCTCTCACCTTAGCTTTTTATTACAGTGTTTGCAGCAGAAACAGTTACTATGTAGGATTAGTTTATCTGCCACCATTTTCTCCATTGGGTAAACAGGCATCAGGCACGCAGAGCACATATCTTTAGCAGGTGACAGGAACTATGACAACAATATAGACATACATGGAATATGAGTTTATGCATGATGTTCACAGCATGAAGAACCTCCTATGGAAAAAAAAGTCAAAATTGTTATAGCATGGTGTTTTATAGAAATAATAATAATTAAAAATTGATAACAAATACTGCTTTGTAAGTATTTTATTTGAGATAATTTTAATATACAGCATTTGAAACAAGTATTTAAGAGTAACACATTTATTAACACTTAATTGCAACAGTACAAAAAAACCTTGCTCTTAAAGCATTACAATAAAACTCTTTATTGTACACACGTATAAAATGAGTACCAATAAAACTAATATATAAGTATTTTAAATAGAAATATTGAACTAACAATCACCAAAAAATGCTACAAAACAAAATGGGCAGACAGGTTAATGTTTTTCTGTGTTGGGATGACTGAAAGTAACAAACACTTTTCTGTCTTTGCTTTTAGACAAAGAATTTGAGGAGAAGGTCTGGCCAGACCGTTTTGAAACAGGTGAAGCATATTTGGAAGAAAAGTATCCTGCATTTGTCCGTCTAAAGCTTTGGGATGTTCAACAGAATCATGGCCATATGAATTGTGCATTGTGTCAATTAAACATTCCACAGGTGAATACTCTATTTCTATTCCTGATTCAAAAGTTGTAATTTCTCTCTTTGCTGTCTTTACATTACCATTGACAACTGCATGTTCAACAAAAGCTCCTTCACTGGTGATATCTGTGTTATCTTCCTTGTCTATATTTAAATTTGAATTAAACTGGACAGACATTTTTATTTTCGTTGGGCTATCAACTTTCCCATCTTCAGCCAAACTGTGTTCTCTCACAGAATCTGGTCTCGAGGTCACAGAATTGAAGTCTTTGCTTGTCACTTCCCCATCTTTTGAAACTTTGCTTTGTGTTCCAGATCTATCTGCAGTCTTCTGTAATGTTTTTGAACCTCTTGGATGAGGTGTATAAACATCCCCTGAATGTAGTGTTTTAAACCCACCTTTTATTGTTAAGGGAGAGGCGTATGTGTTTGTCTTCTCATAAATCCGAGCTGACAGCTCAACTGATTTGTCCATTTCATCCAGCCCAGAATTAAACCTTTTCTGTTCAAGAGCATTTCTGGAGCTTCTCGCAGAAGAGTGGTTGTGATTTGACCAGTCTGTTGTACTTCTTGAGGCTGAGGAAGTATTTTGTGATACAGGGCTATGTCTGGTCCTCTTGTTTTCCGGTGGCCAGCTAATTCTAAGCTGGTTCCTGGTGTCAGGACTTTTGAATTGATCATCACTGTGTCTTTGCCGTCGAGATGATGGTCCTCTGGGGTCATCTACAATTGCATCAACACATGTAGGCTCTGTTTTACACGCTGAGCTTAGCTTGTTAGTAGGTTCAGGATCCTCTGTTTTAGCAAGCCAGCGGTCTTTGTGTTGTCTGTGGCCAAAACCCTCATCATAGTTGCCCTTTTTCTTAAATAACTGATGGTAATGTGATGGGCAGTAGAACTCTCCATAAAGAGCAGAGTAATTGTGAATGCTGTAATGAATAATAGTACACCAGTGAAGATTCAAAGTTAAAGTATATACTGTGAAATTAAATTCCCAGGGACTCAAGTGTTATCATATTTGATTTGTGATTGGATGAACTCTTTTGACTAGCACATTTCCACATGTATTGTCATTATGAATCACAGGTTTGCACCAGGATTACACTAAAAACTTTTAACTGATTTGCCTTCTAATGTCTAGGAAATTGATTTCAGAATTTCACAATGGACAATTGGGATCTCTCTCTCACCTCAGCTTTTTATTACAGTGTTTGCAGCAGAAACAGTTACTATGTAGGATTAGTTTATCTGCCACCATTTTCTCCATTGGGTAAACAGGCATCAGGCACGCAGAGCACATCTCTTTAGCAGGTGACAGGAACTATGACAACAATATAGACATACATGGAATATGAGTTTATGTATGATATACACAACATGAAGATCCTCCTATGGAAAAAAATTTAAAATTGTTATAGCATGCTGTTTTAGAGAAACAATATAATAATAATTTAAAGTTTTGTCTTCCTGGTAATAAAATAATTATAACAAATACTGCTTTGTAAGTATAGATCATTTTAATATACAGCATTTGAAACAAATATTTAAGATGAACACATTTATTAACACTTAATTGCGACAGTACAAAAACCTTTGCTCTTAAAGCATCACAATAAAACTGTTTATTGTACACACATATAAAATGAGGACCAATACAACACACATATATGTATTTTAATTAGAAATATGGAACTAAAAATCAACCAAAAATGCTACAAAACGAAATGGGCAGCCAGGTTAATGTTTTTCTGTTTTGGGATGGCCGAAAGTAACAAACACTTTTCTGTCTTTGTTTTTAGATAGAGAATTTGAGGAGAAGGTCTGGCCAGACCTTTGCAAAACAGGTGAAGCCATTTCTTCATATCTCCCTGGATTTGTAATTACATCATATGAGGCAGATAATCCACTCTCGGACTGCCTGGTAACAAATGTAGATCTTTTGGAAGAGAGGTAAGTATTCCCAAAGCAGTCTATCTCTTCATATTTCTCACTGACAGTTTTAGTGCCAATGATTCCACTTGCAACCTCAGGAACTCGCTGTACTTCAAGAATGCTGACTTTCCTTCTAGGACTTGGAGGACTACAAACATGGCTGGCTGAGCTTTTCTCAGGGGAGGATGGTTTGAAGGTGCTACCTGCATTAGGTTGGTCATTTGCTTTTGGTTTGTCTGAGTGAGGCTGTAGGGATGTGGGTGACTCCACAGGTTTTCTTGCAGCAGAATGAATGGAAATAAATGAAGGCGAGCAGGGGGCGTTTGAGCATGGTTTGCCCACTTGACCTTGATGTACATGTGGTACCTCTTTGGGCAGACACCTGTTATCAGTGCCCTGTACCTGTTTAGATTGCACAGGTTTTGCTTTGCTGGACACAATGCTAATTTTCCTAATGTTTTTATTATTTGGCGAGACATTGTCAGCATTTAAGGATTCACTAAACAGACCTGACAACCCTGCAATGTCTGCCTCAGACTTTAAATTTGAGACCGAGTACAGAGCTTTTTTTATCGCCTCCTCTATTTCCGAGAGTTTAGCTAATGTCTGTTCTTTCAAATTGATGATGTCCATGCTTGCTTTCTCTAGGTCCTCAAATGCAGACTCAACAGAGGATATCTCTACATCATCTCTTAAGCCCTCTGTCCCTGTGCCAGCTCTTGGACAATGTCTGTGTTTCATATTTTTTATTGGTTTGCTAATCCAAACAGGCACATTCTCAAACAAAGTCTTTAGAGATTTAACATCCACCTCACAAGTTTCCCCCTCTATTTCTTGAAATTTTGACAAAATGATCTTCAGCTCTTCACATCTCATAAGGTTTTCGAAGATCTCCATGGCTGCTTTTACGTTGCCCCTCATGATCTCGTCTTTGTGGACGGAGAGTCTCTGGCGGCGCTCATCTTCGGTCTCTCTCCTTGCTTTCTTTTCTCTCAAAACAACTTTGTTCTTCAATAGTTTGATTGTACTTTGAAGGAACTTCACGTATTTCAGGTGTTGAAGGGGTGTCTCTGCTGGCGGAGTGTAACTCAGGTTTATTTGTGTTCTCTTTGGAAGTTTTAACTTGTTCCTGGATGGTTTCTTTTTGCACAACTTTAATTTTCTTTGGGAAAATTGAGGTTGTGTCTGTAGTTGTTTTCTTTTCCCCAAAATTCTGAAGTGCAACCTTAAACCCCTTGTTTAATTCGTCATTGTCCTTTGAATAACTCTGCACACACATCCTGATCTCTTCTGCAGCATTTATCCTCTGAATCACATTTTTCTCCATTCCTATTCTATTACAAGCAAAGGAACCATCATCAAGAGGGTCTGTTTTACTGACTGATGGAGTATGTTGCATGTGGGAATTTTGAACCCATTGCTCAGTGTACTGCATCTTTTGAAAATCCACAGGATCGCTGAAGTTTGTCCTTTGAACTGGTTCATGAATGTTGCATGTTTCTACTGTTTCCTTTTTTTGCAAAAAAGTTTTGCTGGCAGCAACTTTGGGTGGGATTTCTGGAGTCTGTTGCTTATTATTATGCCCAGGTGAGCTTGGACAAACATGTGGGTTTTCTGCAATATGTTTGGAGCTGGTGGTGATGTGCAATGGCTTTGGTGGAATAACTGGCTTCTGATCTTTAACCTGATTACCAGTTTTTGGTGGGATGGGTGGTGGATGTTCGCCTTTTCCTGCAAAAGTGTTAGAGGGCTTTGAATAGTCCATGCTGGAGCTAACAGATTCTGAATTCAGTGCCGAGATGGTCAGATGCTCACTTCCGGTCACTGAAACCGAAGAAGACAATTGAGTGTCAGATGAAGGCAAATTAACAAAACTCTGCTTGCATTCTACAGTTCCTGAGTCATTTGTCATTCTGCTTTGAGTGTTAGACTGTCTAGATTGTCTAAATAACATTGCTGCCTTGAAATCTCCTTTAGAAATATTAATGCTAGACTTCTCAAGAAACTGGAGTGTCTCTTTCAAATTTCCTCTAACAATTTCCTCTCTGACTACACTTCTCTGCTCTGTTGCAGCACTTCGTAATGACTGAACAGCAGCCTTCACATCATTTAACAATATCCGACTCTAACTCTAAAACCTGAGGACTGTTATCTGTCGCTCTTGAGTCATTTTCTGTACTAACGTATTATATTTTCTCTCTCTCCCACTTCATTCTGACAACAAACTCTTTCGTTGGATCCCTGGACCTTTTCTATGTCACTAACCTTTCGAAATGTTGTAGTAATCCGCTGGTTACTTAAGGAGGATGTCGTAGACTGCTCCACTGTTGTGTTGCTTTGGCACTGAGATGATTCATTTAGATTATATAGCTTTCCAGGAGTGACAGGTTCTCGTTCTACTCTCATGCTTTGGTTCTTTGCCCTCTCCAGGGATCTTTTGGCAGCCTTAACATCCCCTGAAATTATTTCCTCCTTAATTAATGTCCTTTCATTTTCTTCTGAGCACATTTCTTCTGCTTCGACATTCAGATCGTAAATAGTGCCTGGTTTGATGACCTCACACTCCACATGTTTGATTTGTTGTTTTGCCCGCTCCAAGGATTCAAGGGTCGCTTTAATGTCCCCAGAAATAATTTCCTCCTTCTGGACCATGACTGGCTGTTTGACTGCCTCATCAAGTTGCTGCTTGACCGACAAAATATCACCTTTGACAATCTCCTCCTTTGGCACGCAGTTTCCAATGCCCAGGTCTGTGCAGACCTCTGAGAAAACCTTTTTGACATTCTTCACGTCTCCTGGTACAACATCCAAGACTGTTCTTTCAACTTGCTCCCTTTGTTGATTTAGGTGTCGCTTTGCTTCCTTTACATCACCTTGAATAATTTCAATTTTATCTCTACAAGAGGCTGACAGTTCCTCCTCAGAAAGTTCTTGCTGTAGACTCTTAAGGTCACCCTTTTCAATACAGCTTCGATACAAATCAACATTCCCCCTTTCGTTTTGTTCCAGTCTGCAAGACGGTTTGGTCTGTTGATTATGGACAGTGGCAAGGAGGTTGCCAATGGTGGATTTGACATCTCCTCGTGCAATTTCGTGCGACTCAGTCATGCTGATTTGACATTGGAGGGAATACACTGTCATCTCTGGCTGCCCACCTTCAGATTCTTGCATCACCAAGCCTGTCTTTATAGTTTTTTGTTGGACGAGCAAATTCTCAATAATTTTAACTGCTTCTTGGGTCTTACACTCTGCCTCAGGGTTGTCTGTGTATCCAGGCTGTTGAAATGGGATTTCAAGCACTGTGCTGTGCATTTTGCCTTGTTCATCCTCTTTAAGTAGAACAACTTTAGGTTTCAGGTTCGGTTTGAACAGTAACTGCAGCATTATGTTCCTGATGTTTCCTTCAACAACTTCCTCCTTTTGAACTTTAGGCCCCTCGCTTTTCACAGTCTGATATTTTGCCATGTTTACATACTTATAATCATTTGCCTGGATGATGATTCCACTTGAATGAATGAATGAATAATGACAAAGGCGGTAGAGTATGTCTGTCACACTCTCTACAGTGATTTTGTCCAGCGGTGTGGTCTCGAATAACCAGGTTGTGCTTTTGACATCTGCCTTGGGGATTTCTTCCTGTGATGAGGCAAGCTCTTTGGTAGATTCATCATTCTTTATTTTATCTAATGGCTGTGATTCGAATAACCAAGTGCAGCGTTTTACATCTCCCTTTGTGTTATCCTCTCGATGTACAGTTGTCAAGGTGTTCTTCTCATCTGGCTCACCTTTTAGAGTATCAATAGGTTGATTCTCAAACAGCCAGGTTGAGGTACGTACATCACCTTGTTGAACGTCTGTAACACTCACCATTCGCACAAACTTCTTTTGGCCCGCTTGCTCAGTCTCAAAGAGTTGCTTGCTTTGTTGCAAACTTTTCCCATTGCCTATATCTTCAACAACCCTCACCGATGGCCCTTCATGAGGTGTGAAGGAGTCAAAGGGCTGAGTCTCAAACTTCCAACATGCTGATTTCACATCTCCCTGGCACACATCCTCTTGTGTAACTGCACGGATGACGTAGATTTCTTTGTCTGCTTGAATAGTGTCCAGTGGCTTGGTTTCAAACATCCACCTTGCACCCCTGACATCTCCTCTCATCACTTCCTCTTTCTTTACAGTGGTAACTTCATGAAACTGTCCATCCTGGTCTCTTATTGCATATAACGGCTGGGATTCAAAAAGCATAGTGCTGGACTTCACATTACCACTACTGATTGTGGGCTTCTCAACACTCATTGACTGGTGCTCAAGTAGTTTGTCTTTATCTTGAATTTTGTCCAGAGAGAAAGTTTCGAAAATAAACTTCTTGCTTCCAACATCACCACCCTCAACATCACTGACACTGCGAGTTATTCTGTCCTCCTTCTCATTAATGTCGCTGATAGGCTGATTCTCGAACAGCCAAGTGAATTTGTGGACTGATCCAGACTGAATTTCATTTTTCTGCTCCTTAGAGTCTTTGACACATTCACTTCCTATTTCATGAAGTGACTTGGATTCAAAGATTTCCTTGACACGTGAGACATCTCCAGACTGCATATCCACCTGACTGACATATCTTACATTTTGTCCAGAATCTGTTTGCTTTGTTATTCTGTCCAAAGTTTCTGTTTCAAACAGGTGTTTCACCATCTTCACATTCATATCACTTTTTATGTCTTCCTGCACAGTACTGCTCAATTTCAAACTGAAGTCCTCCTTGTCTTTAATGTTATCCAGTGGCTGTGTTTCAAAAAACCAAGTGTGTGACTTCACATCAGCTTTTGGCACTGGTTCTACATCCTGGTTCCTTTCTGATTTCTCATACAAAATGTCCATTGGTTGTGTCTCAAACAGCCATTTGCACGTCTTCACGTTACCCTTTTGAAATTCTTCCTGTGTTACTGTTGAACGGGCTTCTTTCTGACTCTTTGTATTGATGCAATCCAAAGGTTGTGTTTCAAACATCCATTTAGCTGTCCTCACGTCACTTGCCATGTCCTCTTGCCTTGTAATGCCCTTGATGAGCTCTACTTTTCCACTATCTTCTTCAAATTGGTCTAAGGGTCTCGTCTCAAACATCCATTTGTAATTCTGTATGTTCCCTTTGATGCATTCTTCTCTATTGACAGTTGTAACCTTGTGGAAATTTCCAGCACAGTCTTTAATTGCATACAACGGTGTGGTTTCAGAGAGTGAACGGTTGCCTTTGACATCCCCAGCTCTAATATCATCGATATGACTTTGTGCTTTCTCAGAGATGTTACTAAGAGGTAAAGTTTCAAAAAGGTTCTTGAAAGTCTTCACATCTCCTTTCTCAACATCTTGAACTTGGTTTCCACTATCACTTGTTGTTTTACCAACACTGAATTTCTCAAACTGCAGCCTTTTGTCTTTAACTTCGCCTTTTTCATCACTTGACACCACAACTATCTTGAGCTGTCCCACCTCATAGCTGTCTTTCAGAGTGTCCATGGGCTGAGTTTCAAAAAGCCATAGTGTGGATCCTACATTTCCTCCAATAATTGCCTCCTCCTTTGAAATTTCACCCACAGACTCTCCTTTAAGAGATGACAGAGGTTGGTTTTCAAATAGCTTTAGTTTGTTATGAACATCTGCTTCCCCAGAGATGTCCTCCACTGTTCCTTTGAACTTTTGTTCTTCCACAGCACCTTCATGAATTGCATCAAGCGGTTGGGTCTCAAACATCCATTTTTTCTTCTCAACACCACCTTTTTGGGCTTCCTCAAGTGAGATCCCGCGAATAATCTGCACACCAGCTCCTTTATTAATGTCGTTCAAGGGTTGAGTTTCAAAAAGCCAACGTGCTGTTTTAAAGTCACTGCTCTGGATTTCTTCTCTACAGATTGATTTGATTTCATGGATTTTGCCACTGCTATCCCTAATCACACAACTGGGATCTGCTTGAAAGAGTTTGACTGTTTTCTTCACGTCTCCTTTGTTCTGCTGGAGTTCTGATTTGAGTGTTAGGAAATGTTGGTCTTCAGCTGAGCAGCAGCAGCCTAAAGCGTCCAGTGGTTTGGATTCAAACAGGAGACGTGTACCTCTCACATCTCCCTTCTGAAGGGGTTCCTTCAGTACGACCTCCACGATTTCCTCATTCTCCATCTTTGATTGACTGATTGAGTCTAGAGGCTGTGTCTCAAACAACCACGTGGCCGTGCGAACATCTCCTTTGACTACACCTGGCCTCTCTCCCGCTGTTGTGTGTTGACTATCAAACACTGAATGCTCAAACAAAGAGGATTTGCCTCTCACATCCACACCTTGAAGATTTTCCTCATTGAGAAGCTTTTTGGTTTCTTGTGGGTCTCCAATGTTGTCAAGAGTCCAGTTCTCAAATATCCAGCGCATGGACTGGACTTCTCCCTGATATGCTGTGTCTACTGCTTGGGGATTAATTGCACCTATCAGTTCATCATCTACAACATCATCAAGATTCATCTTCAGTTCAGGATGAATGTGTTTAAAAAGACGCTTCAGTTCACTTTTTTGCCGTTGTTGGTAGAACTCTGAGAAGGTTTCTTTTGGAGGTGGTACGGGCAGGAAGTTCTGGCTTTGAGACTTTTGAAGTGATTCCAGAACCTGAGGTCTTGGTAGAGGAGGTGGAGGAGGAGGAGGAAAATAATCATCTCCACTGGATGCATCTGTCACTTTTATCTGTTTGGCTACTTCTGCCATCTTGGATGCAAAGAAGAAGTATGAAGGTTCAAGTTACTCTCCACAATGCAATGAATTATGGTAAACACATAGCATAATGGTAAACTTAATTAAAACACAGTTAATATAAAAATGTTAGTATTATTAAGCTTAAAAGCCATACTTTACCTTTTGCTGAGTTTAGCTGGGAATAGCTGATTTAGTTTACTGCACACATATTCATGTGAGGTTTGACTTCATTCATGATGGTTTTCAGCCTTGTTAGTAGAAAATTCATGCTCCACAACAAACACAGTTTAATTTCCAAACATTTTTGAGAGAAAAAAAAAGAATAGGAACAAGAATATTTCTAGAATTTGATTCATTGCGACTAAACTGCAATAAATGCAGGAATACCATAAAATTTATTGGGATTTTTATGTTGATCTAAATATTCATATTTTGCAAAAACACAACAAACTGTCTAAAAATTGTTTCATGTTGTGCCTTTTAGATACGTGTGGCTTTTTACCTATTAAGAAGTCCATTTTACTTTCATTGTATCACAAATATTTCCATTAACAAAGCTACATTTTTACAACATCACTGTTATGATGGCTGTGATTTTAATTTAATTATAATAGTACCATATCGTGCTTGTGTGGAAATATTGTAATAAAGCATTGCTAAATGAGTTCTTGTTGCTTTTTTTTTTGATATACTAAGACAGTCACAATATCCCCAGAGTTAAATCAGCTCTGCTCAGAGTACATATTGTCCCAATCTACAGAGTGTTAAAGTAACACTGAAGCCGAGTTAAAGTTAATAGGATAATTAAGCAATTAATTATTTGATGAGTGAGCATTAGTAAAGAAAACCCGCTGTTAACAATGTTGAAGATGAACAACTACTGCTCAAGCTTTTAGACATGAAAACGTATCACACAATCTTCAACAGTGGTAACTCTGCTTCAGTGTTACTTTAACACTCTGTAGATTGGGACAATATGTACTCTGAGCAGAGTTGATTTAACTCTGGGGATTTTGCTGTGTAGAGTCTTTGTAATTTGCATTATATTTGTTTCTAAATTAGTCACACAGCACCTCTTAGCATTAGTCATTAGTCACACAGCAGGCTCACATAATGATCCTGACTTAGAAAGTCAACCAGAACTGTTGTTCATACCTTGCTTTGTTTTTTCTTCCCACTTGAGATCAAGTGCTCCTGGAACACACTACCCTGAGAAAGAAGCATGATTAATTATTCCTGCTCATTTTTCATAGAAAACACCCAAGACTTAATTTGCATAAAGTTGTTTTAACAACACATCACTCATTTGGTAACTAAGGAAAATACTAGCCAACAAGAGACTTGTACTGTAAAATGAGCATGTACCAGACTTCACAGCATTGCGTGTGATTCAGTCTGAGCACTTGACCTCATAGATGCCTGTGTGTTGTGAGTGATATGACCGATGCAGTGAGCACTCACTTGCTGTTCGATATATCCTGAGGAGCCTGTCTTTGAGAGGTAAAGGGCAGATCTGTCTTTCACGCTCGGGATAGGAGAGAATGTGTACTTAGGTTTGTGCTCTTGATAGGAGGCAGATTCTCTGTCTTTCTTGAAATGTTTCTTCTCTAATTCACAGGGAAAAAATATTGTTACAAAACTACAATCAGAATTGATTTATAAACTAAAAGTGACTCATGTATTGCATATGCAACATGTTGGAGCCATCTAAATAATTAAATATATATCATTAATTGTTAGTTTATCGATTATGACCCATTTTTCATTGTTTTATTTGACTTTTGTTTTTGGAATAAGAATTTATGGCATTTGATAGTAGATGACGTTTGTTTTGGTATCACCTGAATGGAATTTTTGGAAAAATTATCTTCTTTATTTGATCACAATTTAATTATTCATTAACTTGCATTATCTATTAAAGATTACAAAAAAATAAAATAAATAAATAAAAAATAAAACCGCACACATACAGCTGTTTGTGAAGTCTGTATGCAATGTAAATGTGACAGAAACGACCTGAAGCAGAAATAGTATCTGTGGCATGCTATCTAAACAGATTTTGTAATAATTTTGTGTTTAATAAATTAAAATCAAACCCAAGGCTCTTAAACCACTTTTATGTTGGATAATAATAGAAATAAGACAAGTGTCACCTGACCCAGTTCCTTGGCCATTTAGTGGCTCTGATAGTGTGTATATATAGACTGGCACTGGTGTTAGTATGCTTTTATCTGTGGGCTATTATTATACTTCAAGGACATATGGAAACTATTTTGCTCCACACATACTATATGAACATGTAATTACAAAATATTTGGCATAGATTATTTTTAAAAATTACATTTGCTACAATCAGTTGTCTGTTTACCTCAGATGTGCTATAACAATTGGATTGTATTTCTTAGCATGACCTCTAACTAAGCAATTACAGTGGCCTATACATTCCATTGTAAATCGTCAAAAAGAAACAAGTGGTGTCAGCTGAATCCTGACCCTTTTTAAGCTTTCACATTCTCAGAGGACAAAACACTCTGTGACAAAGCATTCCTGATTCATACTTCTGATCTTAGCGTTTTTACTATGGGAATTGTGAATTTTTTGTTAGCATCACTGAAGCATTTTTACAGATTTGTTTGGGGGATCGGCATCTAAAAACAATACTATATATCAAGAGAGTAAATTATCAGATGTTATGGATTCAGAATGGTAAAATAGATATTATAATGATAGAAATCAGTTATTTAGCTGACACCAGAAGTTTGTTAATTAGTTCTTATCAGACAATCAACCACACTTTTTTTGTATCTTCTGTATTAGTGTGCTTGATGTGACCTGAGAAAAAATCTTATTGAAGTTTCTGAATGCAGAATTACAGTAGACCACTTATAATTATTGATGATGGGTGATGTAATTATGGTTTGGAGCAGCAAAAGATCACACCAAATTATTGTAAAGCTGTTGTAAGCTTGATCAAAACAAAAGCTTTCCTTATGAAGCCAGGAGCACTAGAGGCAGCGTAGGTCTGTCAGCTGTAACTAATGACTATATTCAAGCATACCTCTGTTTTTCACACTGTAAGCTCTCATGGGACAAAAGGAGAGGGCCCATCGCTGGCGCCACTCACGAGTCTGAGCTTAAAACGTTTGCATAGCTGGATGAGCACACAGAATAACAGGGCCATACAATACTGGGGTCTTGCTAGACGTTACTGTTTAACAAGCCTGAAAATTGTGCTCTCTGATTTGTTAAAAAAATGCATTTTGCCAAATTATTAAAACAACAAATGTTACATTTTAAGAAGCAGCGGCAGCAAAACATTTACCTAAGGATTTAAATGAAAATACTGTGTATAAGTTTACGTTTCACTTGATATTTGTGACACAGTCATGTGATAAAAGGGGCAGCTTGCATTTCCATTAAGCCTAATCTGACATAAAGGGTGTAATCAGGGAATTATAAAGTATAGTTTTGGACAAGATCAAAGGCTTCTTTTGAGTTAAATTGTCCATCTCTTCCTGCTTCCTTTTTTCCCCCAATGTCCAATTAGTTAATTTAGAAGTGGGTCAAATGGTTTAAACATTTATTTACATCTGTGATACAATTTATTAGATATCTTATAGATATTTCAAAGATGATCACGTCAGATGAATGAAAGTTTCACAGAGACCAGCTCCCATTCACAGCTATTCAGGAGCAGGAATGGAGGGCACAGCTATTAGCCACCTAGAATGTGAGTGCTTTTGTGCTGCTGACAGCTGTCCAAATTATTGCGATATGCACTTGGTATTTATTCTCTTCAGCTGCCTTCCTTAGTTTCCTGTCAGCACTCAAAGGTCTTGTTAAAACCACGGCTTATAATAGGGCAGTATCCACAAAGGCATGTTTAGCTGACACTTCTGTCTGTCATGATTAGCCACTGCATATTCAACAAGACGATTTCAGGTGGTATTTACGCTTCCGTTCAAAAGTTTGGGGTCAGTAAGATAAAAAAAAAAAAAAAGAAATTAATACTTTTATTCAGCAAGAATGCATTATATTGAACAAACGTAAAGGTGAAATAAATGCTGTTCTTATATGGACCTTCTGTTCAACGAATCTTGAAAAATGTTTCATGGTTTCCACAAACTGTTTTCAACACTGATGTTTCTTGAGCAGATCAAGAATTAGAATGCATTAAATTTTATTTTAAATGGTAATAATATTTAACAATATTACTATTTTTACTGTATTTTTGGTCAAATAAATGGAGCCTTGGTAAGCATAAGAGACTTCTTTCAAAAATATGAAAAGTTTGTACCAACCTGAAACTTTTGAACGCTAATGTGTGTATATATTTCAGAATCAGAATCAGAATCAGAAAGAGCTTTATTGCCAAGTATGTTTGCACATACAAGGAATTTGTTATAGTGTCACAAGCTTCACTTTCAGGACATTTGTTACTTTAACATCCTTGTTTTTACAGCTCAGGTTAAATATGTAACTGCCCTCATTTTCTTTACTTGTGGTTAATTATTATACATTTTAGGTAATAATCATTACATCAGAAGACATGTAGCTCAACATCAATGGATCATTCTAAATTTGCAGGCTGAATCATCGACAACATGACCATCATATTCCCAAATCAGAATTTAAATGACAATATTTGAATTTATGTCATATTTCATTTATTCAATATATAATACATTGTTTATATTGTAATATTCTTATTTCTACTATTCACAGCCTTCCTGTCCACACTGATTACTGTACTCACAGAGTGAATTGCTGGTTCCAGGTCTTACTGCCTTTAAAGCCTCGGTCTTGTATATTTCCGCAGGTGATGACTTGCGTGTCTCTGTGAGTGTTCGTCTGACTCTGCTGCTGTCTGTAGCGGTAGTCCTGTCTCACTCTGTCCCTCCCTAATGGGTGACAGCTGATTTTTATCACTGCTCACTGCGGAGCAGGGATGAGGCCAGACTGCTATTTTGGAAGCAGCATGGGCGGTATTCCACAAGCCTGAGTCAATCAGAGCTTCTGGAAATGACTGGGGTACAGGGAACCCCCTTGAGCATAATTCCCACAATTCCCACATTAGTCTAGATTTGCTTCCTAATGCCATCAGATGTTTGAAAGGTACTGAAATGTAAATTAATTTCAGTGGCTTTTTGGCTGATTGTTCAGAAAGAGTCTCATTTAACATCTCTATTTTTAACTGTTTACAAATTAAAATCCTAAAACTGAACACTGCTAATAGGAACGTCATGCCCAGTGATGTCTGATGGGGTTGACAGAGCTTGCTAATGCATCTCAAAATAATTAAGGCACTGATTAAAGCCATAAATGTACTTGTGAGTATTAATACTTACGAATTGTTGAAACAGAGCCTGTGGTATTCTGAGGCTATAATGACACTGTTCTGTTGAAGTTACATAAGCTTTAATATAGTCTCTGTGTGTTGTGGGAAATATTGTGGATAAGACTATACACAGAACTTGAAGTGTATTTTGTATAAAGTGGTCCTGAAAATTGTTTGGACACTTAACCCACTTAAACTCCATTTTTAAAAGGTGATTACAGTGACTGTATTAAGTCAGTTCACACAGTTCATCACATTAACATTACATTAACATGTTGTACATCTGACAGTATCTAAATATGCTTTTTAATAAAGTTTTTTCTATTGCTGCAAAATGCCTGTTGCTTATGCTATTTTCTTTAAAATAAATATACAGTATATTAATTATAATTAAAATATATGATTTTTTTAAAATGTAATTCTTAAACAATTAAACATCTATATTTATATTTGTGAATATTTATTAAATAAATATTACTATTTTTGTATAAAAATATATTTTTGGGGGCATCTAATACAAATGACATTCTTATATTTTTAAAGGAATAGTTCACCCAAAAATGAAAATTCTGTCATAATTTCCTCAACCTCATATTGTTCCAAACCTGTATGATTTTTTTTCTTCTGTTGAACACAAAACAAGATATTTTGAAGAATATTCGTAACCAAACAGTTGACGGTAGCCATTGACTTTCTGCAGTATTTTTTTTTTCTATAGTATGGAAGTCAATGCCTACCATCAACTATTTGGTTACCAACACTCCTCAAAATATCTTCCTTTGTGTTCAGCAGAAGAAAGAAACTCATACAGATTTGGAACAACCTGAGGATGAGTGAATGATGACAATTTTCATTTTTTGGTGAACTGTTCATTTAAAAGTGGTTTAACTATCTAACATACTTTTATGGCCACTGTATAACATAAAACACCATTGTAGGCACAGAAGTTTTGTTTCAAGTAAAGGCACTGAAGGGTCTCTTAAAACCCTTTCAAATAACTATAATCCAAAGACACTGAATCAGCCCAGTCCAAAGTGTTACTCAAGAGTGATGAATGTAAGGTCAGTGGATGGGGTCTGTATGCAGTATTTAATGTCTCCTGAATGCATTGTGCACATACTTGCATGTCCTCACATTCAGTTCTGCTCTCAGCCCTCATTGAAAACTTGTGAAATAGGACTCACTATTTGCTGACAGGATTTTGTGTATGTGACGGTAAATCGAAACTATTCTGTTAGGATTATCTGAGGAATATTTTTAACACAGACACAGCCGGCAGATTCCTTCTCTACAGGAACTTCAGATGGCCCCGCATGCTTGTGTAGGAAGACTTTAGATGCCAAGGTTTTTTCTCAGGCAGGGCAGAAAGTTCACATGACCTTTGACCTCATAGTTACTGACTAACATCACAGCTGAGTTAAGAAGAATGAAATAACTGGTAAATATGCTCACTCATTTACACTAGTTGTACAAATAATTAGGTGTTTTTATAATGCGTTAAGCAACTTACCGTTCAGTCCAGTGGAGGATCGGGTGACATATCCAGGAACCCCACTGACTGTCCTCCTTCTCATTGTCTCATTGAAGGTTTTTTCATTCTATCAAGGTAATAAAAATTGATTTTTAAGATATAATATTATATTATATTAAAATTATAAAAAATATTATAATTATATTAATATTGATTTATATGAATATTTACTATAATAAAAATAGTATTAATAATATGGTAAAATTAATAATTGTTTTATCCTATTTTAGATAGGTTTTAGGTTAACATTAAGATAAAATAAAAGTAATATTTTTATTAATGTATTGTTTTACCTTTTTTTTAATGAAAAATGTGTGAATTCATATTGAACTGACTCCAAACCCTGTTTGACTTAATTTTCATATCATATTTGTTTTATTTATATATAACTGAGCATTTTCTTGCTCATCTCAGGTTTTTAGGATATAATATAAAAAATATTAATGATTTATGATAAACATAACATAATATAATTTTACAATGTGTCAGCTCCTATTGAATGGACTCTGAAACAGTGTTATTTTAGTATTACTTATATATTTTAATCAATATTTTGAGCATTTATTTTTATATTTTTGGTTTCAATTTTGTTCTTTTTAAATATGAATATTTATGCTTAATGTGTTTTTATTTATTATTATTCTTTTTTTTTTTTTTAGTTCAGTTTTATTTTTTTATTTCCAATTCATTTTAGTGCTTCAACTTAAATATTCCTAATTTTCTTTTAGTTTCAATTTACATCTAATATTTACTTTTTTAAATTTTATTTCAATTTTTTATCAATTAACAAAAAAGTTTTTAATAGATTTAGTTTTAGGTATAGTTAATGATAATAACCCTGGGCTGAACACATCATTTAGTGATTAAAGCATACATGCTCCTTTCCTGAGTCATGACTGGCCATGTTGCACAAACACAAACAGAAATAAAACATGACGTGACTGTTACACTCACCTGATGAGCCTGGTCATTTTTGGCATTGGTGGCAGTAGTAGCACCAGAATAGACTTTCTCCCACCCTGTCGGTGCCTCCCTCCACTGTGAGGTAATGTGACTCGCTGGGCTGCTTTTGGCCTGCAGTGCGACGTTGAGCCTAGGGCTGCTGGCATACTTCTTTGACTCAAACAGGACCCTCCGAGTGTTAGGGCCCACCAGGTCTGGCTGGGGCAGCATGTCCATTGAAATACTTCTAGACAAAGTGTTACTTGTCCCACTGAGGGACTCGTATCTCCTCCAGAGATTTTCAACTTTACTCTCTTCATGGTTTGATCTTCTCAGGCCAGATGACTGTGGGATGCAGAGATCTATGTAAGCCACAATTCATTAACAGTATTGCTATTCCACTTAAAGGGGTCATATGATGCGATTTCAAGTTTTCCTTTCTCTTTCAATCAGAGTGATTATACCTTAGACCAGGCCTCTTCCCTGTCGACATCGGTGAGCTCCACACAGCTTTCATACCTAGCAAAAACAGTTAGGTTTAGGCTATAAACTTTAGGCCATAAAAGTCGGTATAGGTGGAATATGGTGCATGGAATATGATAGTCAGCATATTTACCTTTCAACAAGTTGAGAAACAGGTGTCCTTCTGTCCCAAAACAATACCTCTGATGCAGACAGTGAACTATGACCTCCAGAGAGGCTCTTAAGGGACTGACTTCTTTTCAAGGTAAAGCTCATCTTAGTAGAGAAAACACATCAGTAAGTAAATCAAACTTCTTTAAATTTTAATTAATAACTTTTAATTTCTAATCATATATATATATATATATGATTATGATTATTTTTTATTGTTATATTTATCTGTCACAACTGTTTGAATTAAATAATGAAGTAACTGAATAATCATTGAAACAATGAAGTTTGATATTATACTTTGCTTTGGGCTGTGGCCGCATTACCACCTCGGGTGTGCTTTATATATCTAATAATTCAGTGGCCGGATAATATTCCATACATACAGTATATATTATGTTTTTGTTGAACTGCCTTATATCAATTTTTAAAGGCACAGCATAGGTTAAAGGACCAAATTATTATTATTTTTTACAGTTATTTGTGGTAGATAAATATAACAATAAAACCAAAACAAATGGAAAAATATTTACAAAATATATTACAAATCTTGAAAATAATTGTTAATCCAGTCTAACACAGCAGCAATAAAAGAGTGTAAATGACTTTGGTCACATGATCCACCTGCTTGTCAGCCCTTCTTTCATCTGACTCAAGTTAATGTTTATCATTCATATGCTTTGTTACATTACACATTGAACGCTTTGCTGTATTGTGCAGTTTTAACATAATATGCAAAAATTGCAAAAAATGGAGATCTTGCAAAAAATGGAAATAATCATGCACACAAGAACAAAATGAAAGTGAACAGATGAAATATCAGAGAATATCAGTAAGAATCAATGCACAAAAACTACACAGCTACTGCAGTTCATTTAGTATGACTAAATGTTCATTAGCCTAAATTTGATTAATTTGCCTATGTTTGAGCTTAAGTATGACTTTAACTACCCAAAAAACATACTGACAAAATATCACATCAATTCATCTTGAATTAGAGTTACCTTAAGCGATCAGTCTTGCGCTCCTCATTTCCTTCTGTTACGCTGAGCAGTGTGAACTAGAGCATCACTCACTAGACACTCCTGTCACACAGGCCAAAGTCTCTCATTTACAGCCTGACCTCAGGTGTCCGGAAAACTGTGATCACTTATTTCTCACCCAAACCAACTAGAGGGTTAAATGAAGTGTAAAATGGGTCTTTAAACAATGCATTTACAGTACTGTTAATAGTGTTTACAATTCAGTAGAGCATTTAAGAAAAATGGTTATATGATGACTGCTTCCTCCCATGTAAGCACACTGATATTCTCATCAACAAGAGGGTTTCAAGTTATGGTCGTCTGCTAGCTGTTAGTCTAGAGACTCTAGACAAAACACTTGAGGAATGTAAGGTTAGCATGCACTTACTGAGGTCATGTATACTCTGGACATCATCTTGCTATTCATAGACGCTGAATGAATGAATGAATGAATGATT